GTAACTGATGTTAACAAAATTGAACATGAAGATAGATTGATCACTACGAGAGACATGGGCATGTTCTCTGCAAAAACAGATAAAGATGCAGAGAACAGCCTGTCGCATATATTTAGACTGAAATAGTTACTGTAGATACTTTATAATGTATATATGTGAATATCAAAAAATAAAAAAAATACCTATAAGAAAAAACTTTATCAGCTTATATACATAAATTATGAGTGTATTTATGCCCTGAAAACCAATAAAAGTGGTAGCAGTTTCGGAACGTTATTATTACACAGCAGGAACTTTTTATATATACAGCCAGCCAACTGTGCCGCACAAGGCTCCGAGATTGTTTTACAATCAATGCAATCTCTATATACTTTTTTATGTAATTGGAATGCGAAACTATCTGTTGGTGTAACTGATGATTCTCCGGAAAGAGACTAAGATGATACCACTACAAGATATCTTATAATTTCATTAATAAAAGCTACTTTAATTCTATAAAGAAAATACATTTATAATTGGTAGAAAAATATATATATAAAAATTTGCAGAGTTGGCAATATAATATGAAGGGATAAAGTTTATGAAGTTGTAAAGGCAGAGAATTATATGCGGATCTATGGAACCGATTTAGAAAATTCTTTTACCGATAGAAACATTTAGACCTCATAATATCACGCTATGACTTATAGGAGTAGAGTTGCAATGAAAAATGTTGCAAAAACGGGGAAATGAGACGTAAACGAAAGTGATGCGAGTCGGGTGGATTTTTGTATATTATCTGTGGTATAACTTAAATACTAAAAAAGCTAACATTATACATAGAAAGTGACAACTATTGTCGCTCTATACACATAAAATGCGTTACGGACATCCCGTCTGTCGTCATGTAAGGTCAGTAAAATCTCTCAGGTGTTGCCATTTCGGATGACTGAGATATCAATCTCATAGCAATATTTCAAACTAGATCACTGAATATAATGCAAGCTTCTTAGAGGAAGAAATATGTGAGGCTGAGGTAACCAAAACAAGTATCTCGGTAAAGTCATTTGGACAGATGGCAATTTGCCAGGAATTAATCACGGTGGTTTCCAGACTAAATAGCGTGGAGGTATATTGGGCCTGTCAATAACAAAAATGAGCTATTAGTCGCTACTTTTAAAAATCATATTTTCTCTACTTCCATTCCTAATAGCACTTTAGTTATTGGAGTTTTTCAAGAAGGATTTCTTAACGGTCCTCAACGCGTATGTAATGCCCCTGGTGTCTCTGGTGTCCATGGGCTATGGTAACCATTTACCATCAGATGAGCCGTAAGCTTGTTTGCCACCATCGTATTATAAAAAAAATATTACTAGTTGTCGCCCAGAGGTCGAAATTCAGCCATAATTAATTTTTCACTTATCATTCAAGTTACATATGCATATTATTACTTATAGAGTGAGAATGAGGATTTTTTCCAAGAGTTTTTTTAGTCGTTTCGTAACCAACATAGTATTGATTGTTAATTGACGAGAAAACTCGGGAGCAACAATAATTGGATTTGGACTTAATGAGCCGCGCGGGGACTAAATGCTTCTCTTATAACATCTAATAATCGATGTATTTATCAAGTATTATCGCAAACATAAATACTGATAACTAGCGATACACCCTGGATTGAATTGATGTAGTTTATAAACGGTCGTTTTTTTTTTAAAGTTATTAAAATTGATAAAAGAAAGTCATACATTACATTGTAAAAATTCCTATTCATAATTGATGATCTCGGTGGTATATCAGCTTAGAGCAATGTTTTAGTTCCGATGGTCGCGGGTTCGATTCCTCGCACGGTGCAAACATTTGTATTCATGAGTGTGATTGTATCGGTCTGTGTATTTTCTATGTATGTAATACTTAGGTATTCAGTATTTGTATTAGAATTTAAATTAAAATTTAAATACAATATGTATTTAAATTTTCTTTAACATAACTAATACAAATACTTAGTACCTAAGTATTTTTGTATTAGTTGTTTAGTACCTTCCTATAACACAGGCCCTACTTATAGTATTAAATATTATATGGTATAGTTATTCTACCTATAGAATATCTATACTAATATTAAAACAATAGAGCGAATATTAGATTTTTTTTAGTGTTTGACAAATACGTTATATTCCAGAGTTATAAATAAATTATATTATATTATTTGTTTTGTTAATATAATGATACGAATCATAAAAAAATTAACCCCCGAGCCAAGCCGGGGCTGAACAATAGTTAGTCAATATAACTAGCGTAGGTAGGGAGACTTCACGTCGTATAAAGAAACTTTATAATTTATTTCATAAGCCAATTGCAAATTGATAACTTTATTAACATTTTCATTAATGTAAAAGAAAATTAGATTAAGCGACATTGTTGAAGTGAAGTTTTATTCGTGCAATGATCCTAATTTCTCTACATTTATTGGCAAAGTTGACCGAATGTAATTGCGTACTTGGCTATATTACATCCTATTAAATATTCCTTGTTTTATTAGATTAATTTACAAAATTAACAAAATATATAGTTGTCATCATTACATAGTATAAAACAAACGCACTGTCGCTGTCTGTCCTTGCCTATGTATGCTTAAATCTTTAAAATCCGTTGAGTAGCAACGGATTTTGAACCGTTTTTTTAATAGATAGAGTGTTTAAAGAGGAAGGTTTATATATATAATAGATGTACCCGGGACGAGTAGCTAGTTTTTATATACGTTATTAACATATTTTAATTAACGTTGTTAGTTAAAAACTTCCTTGTTTTTTTATGTATTTGAAATGGTAAATAAGCAACAGAAGAATACCTGTATATATTAGCACTACGGACATCAAGATATCATGTGACACCCGTGATACCTCATGCGTTGTCATTGCAGAGGACTAAGACGTACCTCTTATCCTATAATTTTACTACTTAATCTGAATATCAAACTGAACCACAGCTTACTAATCAAGTTACTTAGCGGCCAAAATAGGTGAGACTAATGCATCCAGGTAAACGACTTTTTACAGTCTACCTCTGGTAAAAAACATATTTAAAAAACACTTTAAAAACATAGAACTCAGTTATAATTGAGCCTTAATCAAAACTAATTTAAAGCTTTTGACGTTTGTATACGCAACTTTCTAAACACGGCACGTTTAATATTCTATCATTAGCTACTGATGGCTTGTTCGCGCAACCTTAATTTTCCCAAATAACTAATATAATTCTCTCGGAAATTTAAATTGATTTACCCTTGAACTTTGAGTTAGAAAATTCACGGTAATTATCATGTAATCTATTCTAATAGAATCAATTAATGTGACACTTTGTAAACTTATTTAAAGGTTACGATTTTTTATTAACTTATATGTTTATAAATACATATATTCAAAATATATATTCAAAGCATAAATTGCGACAAATTTCTTCAATAGTGATTGAAAGAAATGTCTTTTGTTGACGCAATTTCAAAATTTATCTAATCTTCTATAAGACTGTTCAAAGTCGTCCGCAGGCATCTTTTTATCACCTAACTCTGCCACTTAACAGTTTGCTATGTGAAATGTGTCGCGTGTCTAAAGCGTGATATATATATAGAATTATATGGAACGGAGACAAAAATTCTTCTTTCACAGGAATGGTACTATGGGCGGCATGGTATATTCGTGATGGGCGTGATACTGGTTTTATATATATAGAGAAAGGTAACTATGTAATATTATATTATCTGTGCTAATAGTAATATTAGATTAGACTATCATCTTTTTAATAATAGTGGTAATGTTACACATATCACACTATAGTTCGGCGAACTTCTCTACTTCCTTTGCTTAAACAATAATGAGGGTGCTACGCGCTTGCTACGTCGTAGCTTGCGTAGCTATAAATATCTTGAGCTCACTGAAAAAAAACTTTTGCTTTATTTACTACAACTTAAAAATGAATTATCTGGATGGTATTTATTTTTAAATTGATAATATACATTATTTTGACCCAAAATATTTTTTTAACATATTTAAAAAAATTGCACTATTAGTACAATTTGATTTATTTTCGTCTATCGTATATCTAATCTTTACGTATTATATAATTTTATATATTTTATTTACATATATAGTACAGACTTTTAGTCTGTACCTCTAGATAATGTAATTAAAATTCATAATTATACTTCTGTGTATTGTTACTATTTTATTAAACAAAATAAAATAAAATCAATATGTATTATTTTTTGGTAATACATTATTACTTATTATTCTTTCAATTACTTCTACTAGAATATACAAAATATGCGAATCATTAACTATCATTAATTATTTTATGTAAATCTTAAAATTCCGATTGTATATCATGTGGCAAGAATTATTATTCAGGGTGCTTACCGAAGTAGGGACACAGTTTCCGTCGGATAATTAAGTTACTATACGTGTTACGAGGCGACCTCAGCTCAGAGTCTTTCACAGTTACTAAAACAATCTCTATGTAAGTTGTATATATTATATTATATAAAATAATATGTTTAAAACTAAAAAAATATATAAATTACATTATACTAATCACCAAAACTATTAGCAAACCATCAAAACCTTTTAGTAGGTTTTGATGGGTTAACGTCATTAATTAAAAACCTGTTACTTAATATTTTAATATAATTATGTTAATAATTCATTATTGCATTAAACAATTTCTTAAATAAGTATTTTAATAAAATAATTGAGTTCATAATACCTTTACTTAATTATTTAATATATCCTTATAATATTATTACAACAAAATTAAATCAAAATAAAATGCTAATATTAGTGATAATTTTACATATATTCATTAGAGTAAATAATATGTTTATATGTTCAATTTATATGTTTGATTATAATACAAAATCATTTTAAATCAAACAAAGAAACGCAACAAAGGCGAAACGCAATTAACCGTACCAAACATTGACCGAGGGCTATTTCTATGCAAATAAAAAGTAAAATTTATCTTACCTTTGATTTATTTCAGCACCGCAAAAAACCCTAACCTAATCCTTTCCACATTCCTAATACAAAAAGTTAAATATTAGACACAATATGAGGAAATATGTTAGCAAAAAATAGAACCGGTAATTACCGTGTTATATTTAAAGTGAACTGTTGTTAGTGATTAATATTGTATATAGACAATGATATTAGAACAATGTTTCAGAGAAGTAAGCGACAAGCGGTAAGCACGCGGCGCGCGGGGCACTGACCAAGCTACAGTGAGTCGGCTGCGCCGCGCCGCCCTACGCAAAGACTAATCGAATCCTGTACACATGGTTAGTATCAGATGTATAAATAGGTATTAAATAAGTGAAATCGAAAAGTTTTTCATAGATAATATAATAAGTAATATATGATGAACAATTATTTAAATTATTCTCCAGTTTTGCTTTTTTTAATGCTAGTTTGTGTTTTATTTTTGTGCAATTGATTGATTGCATGTTAAATCTCCGTAAAAGCTAAAACCGTGTTGTGTATGTCAGAAAATATATTTTATCATACTTTTTTTATATGTATGAAGTACATCACATGTGCAAGAACAAGGAATTCGAATAAAACCCTAAATTAACCAGCGTAGTTATAGCCGGCAAGTATCGCTCTTTTATGGAGCGAGTTATATGTTTTACAGGAAGAGGACAATTTAATTATATGAAGAAAGCGGAGTAATAGTACCTGTTTCATGTATATTGCATCGTATATGTAGTTAATGGGAACTGTAAGTAGTAACAACTACAGAATTTGTTAAAATTACTTATAAACACGATGATAATCAAAATTTACTAAAAATATATTGTTGTAGTTCTATTATAGACTCTTATATTTTTTAATAATTAAATCCACACATATTGTATTTAATTGGAATGCTAACAAACAAACAAATTGACGGGCCACCTCATGGTAAGTGGTAACCGTCGCCTATATACATGACACCACGTATCATGTAACGCTCGTAATACCACTAGTGCGTTTATTAGGATATAAGGACTTGTTCATCTGTCGTGATAATTTATTCTTTGAAATTCGGCGGACAGGGCGGGCGGGATTCGATACGTAGCGGGCCCGGAAGCTACCGCTCGCCCTTTACGGACCTTTGTTTCAGCATTTCGCCATTTCACCATCATAGTTTAATAAAACAGAGCGGTCGTCTAAAAACTTCACTATAACTGTTCATATTTAAATATTTAGTTAGTTCTTGATAATGGCAAAGTAGTGACGATATTTGCAAATTTTTGCAGTGATTCTGCTTTATATTATCAAATACGTGTTAAAACGTTTATATTATTTTTTAAACGACAATATAATAGTATGAACTTAATTTAATTTATTTTGTAAGATACTGTTTTCCGCGACTATGTTTTTTTAGTTAAAGGATATCCTATGTTGTTCCTCGTGATACGTTTATATCAATAAATAAGTTTGTATGAACAGATCTTTAAATTTACGGAGAACAATCAATATCAATCAACAGTTCGATGACTAATAAATACGGAGTTAGTGTATAAAAATTATGAATAACGCCACAAAAATAGTTTTATCATCACCCTAAATCTAAAGAAGATCCATTCAGCCGTTTAGTTCAAGTCATGAAAATATAACAAACAAACAAATAGACACGTAAAGTATGAAATTTGTACTGAAAAATTGAAAGTCGTTTTTTTCTAAGATATATATTTAAACAAAATATTTACCCTCATTATCTATACATTGCTGCCATCTAATCGGAAGTTTATGTATAACTTTACGATAGTACTCTGGGTATCTAGATTAGATAAACGTTGTGAAAGCATTTTATACTTTCACCTGGGAAGAAAGTTTTTTATTAAGTAGAAAATTGTCCAAACAACGATAAAAATTGTAGCAAGGTCTGGTTTATGTCAATTCAATGTATCTATTACTATAGAACGGCAACTTCATACTTTAATCTCAATTATTGTAATGTAAATATGTATAGATATGTATATAATATAGGCGACGACTGACCACAGCTAGGTCGTCAGCTTCTCAGACATTTCAGTTGTGTAAAAATAATGTGCCATTAACTTCGTTTAAAGTAATTTATTTATTCATGTTTTTACTAATTAGCTTGACTTTGACATTTGACTTTTAAGTTGAAATTATTTTATGTTTAATATATAATAAAGAATATTACGCTCTATAAATAATATTTTTAAACTATTATACATACCAATATAAGGTTCTCTACATAAACTAGTCTGCATTTCATTACAACATTTGGTTTATAGTCTATACTAATTATATAAATTTTAAAGATTGTCTGTCAGTCCTTTTTATGATTAAACTGTCAAACGGATCGTAATGATATTTGGCACGAAGATGAATTGTATCATTTTTTACCCAAAAAGCAGGTGAAATTGCAAGTAACAGCTAATAGTCATATAAACTAAAAAATAAATAACTGACTTTACCTATTATAGAATCTATATTATAAGCGAGTGATATGATAAGTATTTTAAAAAAATGTTATATTATAATACGCGTAATTGCACCCGTTTCAGACAGGGGAAGTCGCTACTAAACTATACTATTTAATATAAAGCAAAAGTTTTGGCAGATTCTGTCGTTTTCAGTAGTTGCCTATTCTATTCTCAACTTAGTTGTTCCGATACAAACTTACAAGAAATTATGTCCATTTGACTTTTTGTTGTTTAAATTATTCACGCATGAATTTTTTAGTACAAGCAACATCTCGAGTAACTGTTAGTAATTTCTATTTTCTAAAATTTAAATATTCACAGTAAATTTAAGATATTTTTTTAATATATTATATTTTACGGCTCTGGAAACAAGTATTTTGAGCAACCTTATCAAATGTACTAAACTGTTACACAATACATAATACCTGTATAAGTTAATAGTCTCCTAACAAGATTTTCCTGTAATTAAACAGTTAAGGCACCTGCTCTTCCCGTTGCGTCTCAAACATCCCACCTGTATTTAAGGTTAAATTTACTCACTTACTTCGTGAAAATTAAATTAAAAATTTTGTGCTTACAGAGAGTAAATAAAAATAAATTAAAAAACACATCACAACAAAATGTCTGCACTCATTTTCCTAAAACAATTTCTTTACCTTTTACTAAAATTATAAACCGACCTCTAAAACGAAAAAATGGCTTCGGTGGTCTAACGATTTAGCACACCGCTTTAATTCCGATGTTCGATTCCTCACGCGCTGGAAAAACATTTGTATCCATGATTATGATGGTTTAATTTATCACTCGGGGTGTTTTCTATGTATATTATGTATGTATTTACAAAAAAAAATGCATCTAAGTATTTATATCAGTTGTTTAGTACTCATAACACAAGCTCTGCTTACCTTGAAACTTAAAACCTTAGTTAAAAATCTCTGTATAAAAAAATCTAATAATAATGTTCGGTTATTCGGTTTCTTATTCGTATAGGTGCACGAACGAAACCGGGGCGGGTAGTTAGTTTACAATATTAGGTATGAGTAACATATGAGTCAAGTAATTGTTTCGTTTCACCTTATCATGGAATACTGTTTTATTAATCAGCCTTCACTGGTGACACATTTGCCCTTTATATTATGATGAAGTTACATACTACTTAGAAGAGTATTCGGATTTAAAGGGCACTGACGTCATGTCGCCTGCTATTTTAATTTATGAAATGTCTTATAAAAATCTTATATGTTTCAATGAAATATTTTATTGTAATTGAATGGTATAAAAAGGTAAATAAAGTACCTATATCTTAAAAAAAATGTTCAGGTATGTTTAGTAAAAAAACAATTTATATTGTACTTGCCTTTCCTAAAGTTGCCCCCGCTGTATCTTCGCTTATATCATTTATAGTACGCATCAGACTTTAATACAGTTTTCGTCAATAGATAGAGTGATTCAAGAGGAAGGTTTATATGTATAATACATACGTGTTATAATATAGAACAAGCCGAGAAATATAAAGATTTGTAATGCATCCGTGCGAAGCCGGGACTGCGTTTACTACAAAATTATTCGTGTTAAGACCCTATTAACTATATTAATAAATGTACTAAAAGTGAGGGTTAAAAAAAGACACAGTGCGATTTTGACATCTTATACTCAATGTAACAGTTTACGAGTAAACGAATATATATAGCGCCAGACATTTAGAAACATAAATAGCTAGAGTTTGAAATGTTAAAATGTCACAATAATTATCTTATTATAAACGAGTGTTTGTTATTCTTTTTCGCGAAAACTACTGCACAGATTTTGATGAAGCTTTACAGTAATATAGCTTATACATCAGAATAATACACAGGACGTTACACATAATTTATATTTCTGTTGTTCTTTTAAATTATTTGTGTATAGATAAAACGAAAAAGACTAGGTATATGGAGATATATAATAGGAAAGTATTGACATAAACAGAATGAAGTATAAAAAGTATGTACTATAAAAGAACGATAAATTCAAATATAGATTTAGAATACAAAATACTTTTCTGATTAACTAGTTACAACAATTTCGCGCGGCTAAAACCACAGGCACAGCTCGTATCTTATAATATAATAATACAATATGTACAGTATTACAATTATTACAGATATAAACACAGTTTACACAGATTCTACAACTGTAAATATTACTAAACAATCCAGTTTGCAATCCAATTATAACAACACGAATTCTAAAATAAAAGCAACTTGTTTAACAGTAGAATATCCGCGGAACGTTTATCAAAATATTCACGATCCTGATTATATCTGCTTCATCCATTAATCTATAAGTAGAAGCGAGATAGCTGTATGATATTGTTCAGCTTACGCAAATTGGATTAGGATAATGGACAATGGCGTCGGCGAAATCAAAGGCTCGTTCGTAGCGGAGATGAAAGTTTACACAATAACCGTCTAGCAAACTCGAATTTAGTTTTACACTGGAAAGGAAAAGTTTAAGGTACCTAGTTTTTCTAATAAAAATTGTTGAACTCTTACATTGTATATATTAAATTAAAATATATAAAATATGTTCATTTCATTTGTTCCAAAGTTGCACCAATCAAGGAGTTGATATGCTACTTTTTTTTCCAAATATTTTAATGAAGCGGGGCTTTACGCTTCTCCGAATGATAAGGGGCGTTTGCTGATGGCATTCTAAACTCGCGGAAGACGCTAAAGGTGAACTCCAGCCCGACGGATACGATTTTATTTTGAGGGCAC